GCAATCTTGGATAATAAATAGGTTTAACACTGTATCTAACCTTATCCAAACGCCCTCGAAATCGATAATTGTGACAAAATTTAAAGCAATCGAAGGCTGCTTTTTAATTTGGTTATAAATTTTACACTGTGGTATTTCTTTTCCAATTACGAATTTTTAGAACAAATTCGATAAAGAAATTTGAAAAAAAAAAAAGAAATATTTTGGAATAAAAACTTCTGACAACGGCTCATTATTTGAAAGGAGAACTACCGTTTGCAACTTTTAAATTTATTCTTCTTTCAAACTCTCGCATGTAAAACAGCTGTGGATTGAAGGATATGTTTTTGCGCTTTAGGAAGAAAAGCATGCCTATTCCATAATTCGGAAATGTTGTGAAATGCACTGTATTAAGATTTCTAAGTGTGCGAAATATGCAACGTTGCTTTCTACATCGAAAGAAGACTCCAAATGAATACATGAAAAGTATACTTGCTGTTTCTAATATTTCGAAAGTTAAATCGTTGGTCTTAAAATGCATCTATAGCAACAAAAAATAAATCGTTGGTCTTAAAATGCATCTATAGCAACAAAAAATAAAATAATAAGCTAAAGATTTACAACTTAAGAAAACCAGAAAAGCAATGTTCACCAGCTTATAGAAATTGCTCACACAACAATTTTTATAATCCTGTATGAAAACTATTTAGCAAGAGATAAATTTAGCAAGGGCCATTGTGAATTATTTTATGGGAAACCTCACTCTATTATATACAATATTTATTTCCCCTCTACAAAGAAAAATTTATAAAGTGTATAGCTGTAAGATTTTGGAAAACTAATCGTGTTTGTAATTTCAATACTCTCTGTTGCACTGAAATGGAAGATTTCTTTCAAAATCCCACTTAATGCGTACAAATGCTTTTGTCTCTTCCAGCTACTCGAATTATATTGTATACGAAGCAAACACGTTTTCAAAACTTTTTCAAAGTACTATATAGTCGTCATAACACACTCATTTGTGATTTCCATTCTTAGACACTGCACGTTCTTACAATCGGTAATTTTTTATCGAAGAAGTCGATTGCCTTCCTTTTACGTATCATATTGCTGCGAAATCCCCAGATGCGGTAACATAGCTTTCCCGCAAAGGGCTGCAAGAATGTGACAAGGAAAGGCGCAATTTCCAGATGTGGGGCAAAATCACTCGCATGGCGACGAAATTCGTGATATGCCATAGACGTAGCGGGAACATTCTAGAACACATTCTTAACGGGTTTCCTCGGCTCGCAAATGTTCTCGAGGGTAGGTTAAAACTATATATACCCTGACTGTACGGGGAGGTAGTAGTATTTCAGTTTAGAAGTAGTCTCTTGTGTTCAGAGATTAGCGATTCATTATTTCATTATTGTTAGCGAGCTCGAGAACGATCGACCCATTCGGGAGCTGTATTTTGCGCTTTGCCGTGTAGCGTGAAGCCTGTGTTGCTGATAGTTTCAAGGTGTTTATCGTAGTTTTTCGACGACTGTAACACGTCTTTAGAACTGTCCTGTGTAATACTCACGAATAAATTGTGTTTGGATTTTTTTATCAAGTGTTGTCATCAATCACTCCAAATCTACGAACCCGTAGAATGCAAGAACAATATTTCAATAATTCTTTTAATGTAAAAATTACATTATTATTGTTTGCAAATAATGTCAAATAAGAGTGCTACGATGTGCCGCTTTCATTGACATATACCGCATTTATTATTAAATATTCAGGTGACTTTCATATGCATTTACTATTAAAATTTTCTTTTTTACCCACCCTTCAGACTATTACGATATTTCTTTGAACTAGACGCATTTAATGCATATAATATTGCTGCATTCTACGGGTTCGTGAATTGGAGTGATTGATGACAACACTTGATGAAGAATCAAAACATAATTTATCCGTCAGTATTACACAGAAGATTTCCAAGGACACGTTTACAGCCGTCGAAAAACTAAGATAAACACTCTGAAACAATCAGCAACACAGCATTCAGGCTACAACGGTGAAGACAGCTTCACGGCAATGCACTAAAGTACAACTCCCGACTGAGTTCAGTAGCGACTAAGTTCGGTCCCGACTGAGATTACCTCATGCTACTCTCTGAACTCAATATACTCTCAAGCTACTCACGATACTCTCTTACTCCGCATACAGGCAGGGTATGTCTAAAATGATCTCTCTCCGTCTGTGGCATATCGCCAACTTTGTCGCCAAATGGGCAAATTTCACAAATCTGACAATCCTGTTGTTTTGCCCCTTTTGGGCAACCCTTTTTTATGCCGTTTTCTGGCAGCCTGAACCCCGATTTGCAGGGAAGCTATCATACTGCAACTGGGCATTTCGTATCAATGTTAATTCTAGCAGTGCTCAAACAAAACTAATATTTCATCGAATTTGAAAACAGTTAAAAAGCGCGCAGTTGCATTACAAGTCTAAAAAGAGTGCCAAATAAAGAAAAGAACCGCAATGTTTCTCATTTTAAATTAAAAGTTAAATGTAATCAACTTTAGAACGAAATGCATGTCGAACGTTGACACGGACTTAATAAGGCATCTTGCATCAAACAAAAAACCAAAAAGTTAACGCAAAGAAAAATATTCTTAAAATTTCTAATTTAAATGACAGTAAGGTAACTTTGTAGAGACATTAGGTTATTTCGAAGCAGGAGAGATGAAATACACTCCGCCTTTTAAAGGGCGACTGGGGATTAGAGGACCCAATCGCCAAATCCTGGGGGGGGGGGCGGAATCATCATCCACCACCCTTTTAGTTCGAGGGCCAATGTAGAGACATTAGGTTATTTCGAAGCAGGAGATGTGAAAAATGAGCATTGCCCTCGCCGGGAATGGAGCCACGGACCTCTCGAATACGCGCGAGCGTGCAGACCAATACACCACGAAGGCACGCTAAGAAGGCGGGGGGGAAAAACCTTATAACTTACTTTTTGCAAAAATATATGGATCTTTTTTAACCTCCACCACAGGTAAGTGAAGAAAAACACTGATAATAATTCAAGATTATACCAAAAAAAAAAAAAAAAGAGGAGAGAACAAAGAGAGTAGCACGTGAAGAAAAAAATCGACATATCTTTGGAAAGCTGGCTATATAGTCCGTTTACTTTCTTAACTTAGTGACCAACACATCGAAAAAATCATAGAAATTCGTAGAAAAATCTAGCAGTATGCCAAAGAATAGTAGCAGGCATAAATATGGTAAAACTGATAAACTGTTAGCTGGTTTTGACTGAAGCAAGCAAAGGACGATTATTTGTGTCAGGAGACATTTTGTGAGAAACTGCCATGTGATCATGTTATAAATATGAGGAACCATGAAACTCCCCATGCACCATCCTGTTTGCCATAATCTGAAAAAAAAAATGGGTTAAGGCTCCTTTCTACGCCAACAGACAGTTGCAGACTAACTGGCGAGAGCTTCTCTTCTGACAGACAGACTATACAACCATGCCTTCTCCGGGATTCGAACCCGGGCCCATGGGCGGCAAAATCAAAATTATCATCTGTAATCACAAAAATTTGTCTAAAAGTTTCTGTTTTACAGACCGAAGAAATAAATAAGGAGGTAAACAAAAAGATTTTTAGAAATGTTTTAGTAATACCATTGTTTAAAATTTCATTATTGTTATTATATAAAACACGATAATGAAATAACTAAATTATGTCAAAATTGCCTTCATTTACCATGATTTTTTTTCTTTACAGTTTTGCCCCTTCCTTAAAATACTTTTATGCAAAAAATTCAATAGTTAAAAAAAAAATTCTGAAAGTTTTCTGATTTTACATTACACCCAAAGGGCCGTTCTTTTTAACGTGTTACTATTTTTAACGTCTATTTTTTTAACACGTTTTACCTTTATTTATCACATATCATGTTCCTCGCACTTAAATCATAAAATTCAATTCAACAGCAATATCGCAAAATAATTTTAAAATGAGCCTATCTATAGAATTTCCGAAACACAGTTGCGCGCTAGATTTATATATATATATATATACAGTTTTGCCATTGCTCGCTTTGAAATCATTGAGTTTCTTAGTCAAAAATTCGTTAAGTGTTACAAAATATAAAATCGGTAATAGAAGAAATTCCAAATTAGGGCTTCCAGTTGCCCATATTCGATGGAGGATTACGTTATTTAAAATTGGGTGGCTCTAGGTACCGTTGTTTTATCACAATGCGAGAAACATACATATATTTATGCAGATTCTTCTTTATTTAATTTCTTTAAATATAACACACGGCTCTAATATTTGGGGACAATAAACTGAAAAGTGAAACGGGTATTTAAAGTGTTCGACGCAAAATGCCAAAACTAAATTAATAGCCCTTCTCAGCTAACGCCCTTTGGGCTAAAAGTAAACTTACTGGTGTAATATCAGAATGCTAGGTTTTACTGTAAACATTTGTTTCCGTGACGTCAAAGATAAACGCTCTCGAATGTAATTATTTTACTTCGGATAGCGATATATGATTGGTCTGAATTCATTCTTTCAAAAGTCACCTGTTGTCTGATGAACAGTTATATGTTACATTCAATAATTACAAATTTTATTATGTTCACTCAACAGCCATAAGTTGAAGGAATAAAATAAAACTAATCGATTACTAAAACGGTACTTATTTATTTATCTATTTAACTTTTAAATTGCAAAAATTAACGTTTTAAGTTAACACCAAAATTTGTTGTCTTTTCATTGCATTATGATTCTCAGTGAAATCCGAAAAAGCGTTAAAACTACAAAATGAGAGAAATTTAAATTTGATTTCCAACGAAGAATAAAATGAACCTAGAAAATTTTGATGGAATCGCTAACGCAATTATTGTATCTGTGCTTTCAAAATTCCTTGAAATTTTTAAAGTGCCGCTAGGGTACCTAAGAGGATTAAAATTGTATTGTTCATTCCAGCAGTTAAATGTTTACAGTATAAGTAGTTTAAAACCGCTGCTTGGCGGAGTTTTCTGTTCTCAGTTCGTCGAGCTACATGCGGTCAGTTGAAAAACTTCAATTCATTGAGCTACTTGCTTGTGATCAGTTGGAAAGCTACAGTTCATCGAGCTGCTTGCGATCAGTTGAAAAGCTTCAATATGAGCGTAAGTTACCTACAATTTTTAAACTAATAAGACTTTTTTTTATATTAGAATGTCGTCAAATTTTGTGTTGTTTTCTGTAGGCAATCGTAAAGTAAATGCATATTACAAAATATTAATTTTTTTGATGGAATATAATTAAGACGGATTATATTTAACAAGCGTATGTAACCTTAAATTTTTAAACAAGATTTCTTTAACTTGCAAATTAAGTTGTCGAATTTTTTTAACTTGTCTGTTGTCATATTTTCGTTTGTGTAGAGAGTAATAAAGTAAATGCATATTATAAAATGTTAATATTTTTGTGGGAAGAGAATTAAGATGGGTTATATTTATCAAGCGTATGTCGCCTTAAATTCTTAAACTGTTGTCAAATTTTTCTTCTGCAGTAAGTAATAAAGTAGCCTCATGTTATAAAATGTTAATATTTTTAGAACGGAACTCGATTCTCTTCAAATATCTTGTCCAATTTTGCACTGCAGTAAGTAACGAAGTAACGGCATGCTATGAAACTTTCATATTTTTATTTGAAGAGAATTGAGTTGGGTTATAGCTTATGAAATTTTGCTTCTGCAGTAAGTAATAAAGTAACCGCATGTTAGGAAACGTTCATATTTTTATTTGAAGAGAACTGAGTTGGATTATATCTTGTCAAATTTTGCTTCTTCAGTAAGTAATAAAATAACTGCATCTTGTGGAATGTTAGTATTTTTATTGCAAAAGGGAAGTAAGATGAGTTGTTTAGCAAGTGTATGCTTCATATTACAAATTCTTAAACCAAAAAGATTTAACGCTGTCGAATTTAGTTTCCTTTATGCAAGTAATAAATATACATCATAAAATGTTATTACATTTTTGGTAGAAAATTAAAATGGGTTATATTTAACAAGTGTATGTCCTCTTTAATTCTTAACTATGTTTCTTAAATTAAAAATGTTGTCAAATTTTGGTTTCTGTAGCAAATAATAATGTAACTGCATATTATGAATTGTTAATATTTTTGCTGGAAGAGAAAATGTTATATTTATCAAGTGTATGGCACCTTCAATTCTTAAAGAGGCTTTTTTAACTTAAGCTGTTGTCAAATTTTGCTTCTACAGTAGATAATAAAGTAATTGCATAGTATAAAATGTTTCTATTTTTATTAGAATAGAAGTAAGATGTTATAGTTAACGAGCGTATGTCACTGCAAACTCTTAAACCAAAAAGATTTTTTAACTTTAAATGCTCTCAAATTTAATTTCCTATAGCAAGCAATGAATAATACGCATAGTAAAAGGGCAATACATATACTGGTAGGAATTAAAATATTTCTCAAGTTTAAAATGTTGTCAAATTTTGGTTTCTGTATCGAGTAATGAAGTAACTGCATTTTATAAAATGCTAATATTTTTGCTGGAAGAGAATTAGGATGGGCTAGATTTATCAAGTGTATGTCACCTTAAATTATTAAACGGTTTTTTTAACGTATACTGTTATCAAATTTTACTTTTGCAGTAGGTAATAAAATAACCGCATTTTATAAAGTGTTAATATTTTTATTGAAAGAGAACTGTGATGGGTTATCTTATAAGCCGTATGTCATCGCAAATTCTTGAAGATTTATTTACTTTAAATGTTGTCATTTTTTTTTTCCTATAGCGAGTAATAAATAATGCCCATTGTAAAATGTTAATACTTTATTGGTAGGAAATTAAGAGGGGTCTTTTTAATTCTTAAACTAAAAGAATTTCTTAACTTAAAATATTGTCCAATTTTGGATTCTGTAGCGAGTAATACAGGAACTGCTTATTGTAAAATGTTAATATTTATACCGAAAGCGAAATTAAAGTGGGTTATATTTAGCAAGTATTGCATTCCGGGAATTATTTTACTGGATTTTATTAAATATGACTTTAGCGAACAATTGTACTATCAATTCTTAATTGCAATGCAGTTTTAGTAAAAGAAGTGAGGCTCTTGTCGAAAAGAAATTTTATCAATCATTTTATGTGTAATGAAGATAAAAAAATCTGTAAAATTTCAAATTATAAAACTTTTAAACTGCAAATTAATGAAAACTGTTAATAAAATTGTAAGTACGGTATAACGACGAAGACAATATTCTTTAAAAGTTTTGTGCTTTGAAGTGTTAAACCAAATACTGTAATTCAGAAAGAGACTGAGTAGATTAGACCGTTGAGCACTGGTAGTTCAACCGCTATTCGAATCCGATAAACGGACTGATTGCATAGGTGTTTCCACTTGTAAGATAAACCCCAGCTATTTATTTAAATCATTCATGAAAGTATCTCTTAATTTAAAGATTTAGCTTTGGTGTGCATTGTCATTATCACGTAACCTAAAGCGAACCTTTCAGAACTAAAAGTTGGAAACTTGATTGAATGAATCTTCTAATTTTCTGCAGATTTATATAATGTTAATAATTACCTAAAATCCTACCTAAAATCGTAACTTAAATAAACAGCTCAGGGAAAATATTAATTTAAATATCTACAAATTAATGTTAAAAAGGGAAATTATTTGTAGAAAATAGGATGTCTTAAAATATTGCAAATTAGGACCTCTATAAAATTTATTAGATTTTTATTCTAATAAATATTAGTGAAATAAAGTGTTAGGAATTGGCGATTAAAAGTTTTAAGATTTTTTTAGGTTTCGGCTAGTTACTCATTTTACGGATGGTTAAAATAAAGGGTTAATCTAATACGAAAATTGGTTAAAAATGTCAGTACCTTAAATGCTGAAAATAAGCCTTTCACCATTCTCCCAGATTACTTACGCGCAGTACCCGTGAGATAATGTTAAACTAGTATAAATTCTAATTTTAATAGGATATGTTCTAATAACTAGAACTCTTGTCAGTAATTACGATGCAACAAATAAAAAAATATAAATAAATTGGTTTATTTGATCGCGGCAAAGCACGCGAGGCTATTTACCCTAAGGGCACGGCTGCCTTCTTGGAAGTAGCGTCACCGGGCTCTGCTAAAAAGAAATAACCTCCCGAATACTATTTTTGCTCTTATATTTTTGCTCTTAAATTTCTTATATTTTGGCAATTAAGGTGTTTTTTGTTTTGACTTGATCATAAAACCTCGAACACTTTCAAAAAGCTGATTTTCCGCATTTTAAAATCTGCCCTTTTGTTTACTTCCTTAATTTCTACTACCTTTAAATATTCTTTAGTAATTATCTTAACTATTATCATTTTTTTAATTGATTCCAATGGGCAAAACAACTGAGCACTAGTAATTCAACCTGATTTTTTTTAAGGATTAGCGAAAAAGCTATTGCGTAACTTTTTTGCGAATTTCTCAGCGTATAACGTAAATGACATAGTTTCCTTTAGTTTGCCCAACCTGTGGCCGCATGTTCAAGATAGATGAATACTACTAAATACCGGGACTTCGATACCGGTTGGATCTCAGATGAACGGACTGGCTGCACTTGGTTTCTTCGATGTGTAACGTAAATGCGAGCCAGTTTCTCTTGGAAAATACTCCTCAAAGGCAACCCTCATCTTAAATACATACTTCTCATGTGCTTTGCTGTATTCAGTTTGCCTAACCTTTAGTAAATGCACGAAACCCTACTTAAAAACGCGTTTTTAATAAAATGTTCAATTTATTAAGTGCTGAGTAGGAAATATTTACTTTGTTTGTTGCGCAGTCAGAACGACAATTACAAACAATGAGAATTAAACTTCCAAGTATATACAGTAAAATGACTTGCATGAACTCTATTATAATTTGAGTGAACGTTTCATTAAAATGTCCGTCAATATGATTGGCTCTATTTTGACAGAATCTTCGCCAACTTTTGTGTTGACGGGAAAGTATGCAATATCTAAAATTTAAAGGAATAAAAATTTTTGCAAAACAGATTCAGGAGAAAAATTCAAATAAGTCTAACTTAGAACTTTATTTATTATAGCAAAATTCATGAGTGTCTGAAACAAACGGGCTTTTTTTTAATTCGTTCTACATCCAGTAAGTTCGTTGGCCTATTTTGTGATCCCCATCTGCGCTTCGTGTTTAACAATTCCATAATCCTCTAAAATTTTATAGAATGTAAGTTAGGCCAAATTTCTAGGTGACTAATGACATATCAAATCTTTGACTCCTATTTTTGCCTTTCGTTAAAATAGCCGCATGAATTTCTTTACAACGTAGCAGTACTTAAACAGATTTCTTACATTTAATAGGCGGACAGTCATCGTAATATTATTTTGCAACTAATACCATGTTAAAATTAGAACTCAGCGTACCATTCAATTTGAATATTAAAGTCGATGAACTTGCTCGTCTTTCCATAGACGAATATAAAATTTATTAACTATATGCAAACCTGAAAATTAAAAATCTTACAGCGTTTAATTCGGTTAACTAAGTGGCGGATGTTTGAGATCGGTGAATACTGCGAGATCGACTTGAGGTGAAGCGGCTGGGTGCATGGTTGGTTTGTCATTTTCCTCATCTGTGATGTCGATTGGAAGCCGATTTCCCTAAGAAACTCATTAACGAAAGCATCCCTCGGCCCACCAGCGGGCGACCAGTACAAGCCGCCGAACACTGGTAGTTCGGTCCAAGGTTCGAGTCCCGGCGAAAGGGTTGGCTACATGGGCGTTTTCGTTTTCCCATGTGTAAAGTGGATACGAGCCAGTTTACGTTAAAAGAATGCCTCCTCGGGAGCATCCCTCCCTTTCCGTGCAGTGTCCAAGGGCGGAACACGTAATAAGTAGAAACAGCATCCCTCCTCTTAACACGTTGAATGCCACTTCAGTCACCGGTGATTGAAACTAAACTTTCCGTTCGAGCTTTCACACTCTTCAACTGATATTTTCAAATTCTAGGGCAAAGACTGATTGTGGTCTGTACTTGACGAAGAACCACTTAGAACTGAATGCATGTAAACGTAGCAGGTAAAAGTGCATCGGGCACCAGAAATTTCACTGCAGAATCGAACAGGTATTGCCCCATTACCCTAACCGTAGCATATAGTCAGTTCAAGTTGTTCATATTCTATTTCTAAGTAATACTGTAGTTGTACGTCGGAGTTGTTACATTTAAACATAAGAGGATAATAACATAAAATTACAAAGTTTCATAAATAACAAATTGTAAACGTAAAAATGTAAATGTAAAAAAAAATTATAATTAATAATCTTAGAATGCTGGTGCTTAGCATTGCCATACCAAAATACCAGCTTAGTTCTATACAGTGCGAATGGCCTTACGGGAATTTCCTTATAAATTTGCGTGTCACTCAACGTGTTAAGTAGATAACTGCCATGTGCTTTTCCGTATTCGAATAACCTAACATTGAAGCAAATTTAATTAATCTTCGAAAATCCAAGTAAGAAAACAAGTTTCATTGCCTTGTAAATTATAACATGCACAGGGATCCCGCCAACGGTTGAATGTTTAAGACCACTGAATAATGGAAGTTCGAGCTACTTCTAGGCGAGTGGGCTGGCTGCATAGCTGGTTTCCAAGGTTATCTTCATTTATGTGAATACGAGCCAGTTTTCCTCGGTCATCTGCGAAGGCATCCCTCCACTTAAGCAGATGGCTCTCGTGGCTTTGTCGCTTTCAAGTAACCTAAGTTTGTTAGTGTTGCCGCACAGAGGGTATAATGGTTAAGGGAGCCTACTACGATACCAAAAGCCTCGGGTTCGAATCCTGGAGAAGACAACTCTTATTTGTCCATCCCTTCGTAGGTAACAGTGGTTTAGTTATTAGGTACTTTCAAGATAAAGCGCAACCGCTTCCGGTCTTGGTAGTGGTCAAGCTTAAGTCGGCTAAATGCCCACCAATGGGGGGGGGGAGAAAAGTTTGTTAGTGTTAAGATAGCTTAAGAAAACTCTAACTAAAAATTTCATGGCCCTCATTTTGTGCTCTCCAGTCGCCAAGTGGGTAAGAGCTGAATAGTGGTAGATCGAATCGGATTATCGGTGACGGGACTGGTTACATGGGCGTTTTCATAGTTTTCTCATGTGTAACGTAAGAGCCAACTTCCTTTAAAACGTCCTCCATGAAGGCATCCTTCCCTTTGGGTACATACCGCTTATGTGCTTTGTCAAGATCAGCTAAACAAACGAGCTTTTACTCACTGTAATGACGGAAGATTATTCACCTTCTATCTCGAGGTGGATCTGTACTTCACACTTCTAACGAAATATTTATTTAAAAAACAAGATGAACTAATAGAAATGTTGTTATATCTTTGGTAAAATTCGTATAATTAAAATTATCTTAGTATTCTTAATATTTATTCTTTTCCAGGAATTTTTGAATAATAGTTTGCAGTTGCCTTTCACTGAAAAGGTCCAGCACGACTTCTCTTGCTATGTTTACCTGGGACTCGGCTGGGGCAGTTTCCCTCAAGAGAGAATACTCAACATAATCATAGCCCAAGAAGGCTACGAGGCACATAAAGTAATACAATATGGCGTTTATTGGACCCACTTGTACATACGATTTAAAGATGGAGTTTCTGCCTCAAAATCAGTTGCATCTTTTCAGCAAATGGTAAGTGGTATTTTGATGTCCTTCAGCCTTAGATAGGCCTTTCTCTGAACCCGTCTCACTATGATTTAATGGTACTTAAAAGGTTAAAGAATTAGTTCTGTTTCAGCGTTTTGCAAAATTCTTCCTGTTCGCGCGATATCGGAGAGTACAGTTCTCCTCCCACAGCTCCTCAGGGGATGTCATGATATGTTATCATTAAGAAGAGCAGGGCAGTTTCTTTGTGATAATTTAGTCTTCGTTACATTGAAGACGTGTCTTAGTTTAGGCTCCTCTTGAAATCTTAAGTTTCATTCCCTTTGTAATTCTGCTACAATATTAGCTGTTATTTTCACAACTTGTCTAAAACATTCATATTGATTAATGTTATTTTAACTCGAAAGAAAAATAGCCCAAGTACTTTATAAAGGTTATTAGTATCGAATTCGGAATAAAAATAAGGAAAATGTAGTTTATTGGATTTACATAAATGAAACAAAAGCTGCAAAAGCGTAATTAAGACAAAAGAAGTCGTCGTTTTAGAAGAAAGAACGTCGTTTTAGAACGAATATTTATTTTGAAAGATTTTATTATAACTCATCTTTATGCAGACTTTTGAAAGACTATTGTTTTTTACTTTAGGAAACAATTAGTTCATTACCAAAATCATTGCAGAATTTGAACATCTCTCTCTCTCTCCTTTTAAATACAGTAATCGCTTCAGTCATGCAAAGATCTGAGATCGTAAATATTTTTCAAGTATTTCTTTTAAAAATAACTTTTTAAATTAAAAATTTTTTGACTTTCCTACTTTTCGGGAGAGTCCACTCCGCCCCCACTATGTAACCCCTTTGGGAAGGGGGATAATGAAGACTGATGATTTCGCGGAAATGGGAATCGCGAAAAAAGGAAGACTTCAAAGAAGGATTGGTGATTTGTGCGATTAGTGTTTATTTCGATTGGAAAACGCTTGGCAATCCCTTTTAAACTTGCTTCGAAGAGCCACATGAAGTCTTAAGTAGGACTTCAAATGAATCTTCCTGTAGCCCTGTTTCTTGTTCTACCAATTTGAGGAACCCCATACCCTGTCTACCCATTTTGCATATGAACTCCATGCCTGATCGTAACTAATAGCAACACCTTTATTTTTTGAGACATCCCATAAATCCTTGATCGGATTTGTAAAGAAACTCCGGCTTATAGACGTTCTTAAAACTTGGCGAACTCGTTAGTTAAAAACTTAGCGCGATTAATTTGTTATGGTGCCAAAGGTGGTAACTCTTCGCCCTTTTAGGCGAATTTTGGCGTTTCTTCATTAATTCTTCAGTAATGATTTAATATGGAAGGGAAATTCTTAAATATTGAGCCTGGGCTGATATAGAATGAGGCTGGGTGAGGGGTTGTCAAAAAAGAAAAAGCTAATCTATTTTGTTATAGCTATGTCACCACTGTCTACAGGCATGTCCAATTCGTTATCTAAGGTGAGCCAAATACTTATCGTGCGGATCGTAAATTTAATTTCATCCTTAATGATATAAAGTGAACAAGTTCATAAAACCTTACCCAATATTTTATTTAAAAAAAAACTACATCTGGCATTTCATTTTGCGTGTAGCCAGCTTTAGGATGTCTAGAGACTTGCAGCAGCTAGCAGAAAATTGATACGGGTACAAGTAAGGAGAACCGGTTTCCAGAATCTTCCATGTTAATCAATAATTTTGTAGAGATTGCTTCAAGGTTTTCTTTAGAACCTGAGGTACGCCTCGATTTTCGTGGGAATTCGTTTTTAGCAAAATGTACAGTTTTAATATCTTGGAATGAACCAAGGGCTGCAAAAAAGAGTCCGATCCAGCGCGTGTTTGGGAATTATGATATAGACGAGGTGAATCAAAGTCCGAGAGGCAGTAAGGGGCTTTGTAAATCAGTTGGGGGCTGAGAAAACGCAAGACAAATTTCGTTCCTGAACACTTTTGAAACTCTTATTCAAACAGCCACTTGATTATGCAGATATTAGTTTCGCATCTTAAGTCATGTCGGTCTCGTTGACGTACAGTGGGTATAAAAAGTATTGGCAACTGCCTATAATTGATCATACTTCCTAACAAAGGAAATGCTTGACAACTTTAGCTGAATATAACGAACACAGGAAGTATCCTGTGACTCACAAATCCAATGAAACTTTTAATTTAATGTCTTTTACAAAAACTATACAATAAAAACGTAAATTTGTACGTCGAAAAAGTATTGGCAAAGTTCTAAAGTTCTAACTGATATGCAAATTTTGTTACGTTGAGGTTACGTGTTTAAACTGATAAGAAACCCTGTTAATATAAAGTCTGCAGTGCTACATCAAAACTTTTAAAGCGTTATTTACTACTACTGTGATAAACTGGCTTCGAAGTCGAAGAAGTTTGATGTTAATGCTAAAAACATGATTATTCAGCCCAGAAATGAGGGTTTAATTTATCGTGCTATAGGATTACAACTGAACATAAGTTTATTTACTGTTAGAAGTGTTGTAAAAAAAGTTCGAAGAGACAGGATCGACGGAAAATAAGATTAGAAGTGGAGGGCCTCAAATATTTTCTGCAAAATGGGGCATTATCAAAGAGGTTAAGAAAAACGCTAAAATAAGTACACCCCAGTTAACCAAAGATGTTGCTAATACTTCGCACAAAACTTTTAGTGTACAGACTATACGAAATGTTTGACATAGAGCAAGTTATTATGGAAGGGCAGCTAGAAAGAAACCAATTCAGAAATAAAACAGGAGAAAGAGATTGGATTTTGCAAAATCTCATTATTTTGTCCGACGAATCAAAGATTAACATTTTCGAGTGTGATGGACGATAATGTGTGGAGAAAGCCTAACAACGAAATGGGAAAACATTTAACACAGACTGTAAAACATGTTGGAGGGAGCGTCCTAGTTTGGGGCAGTATGGGAGCACAAACTGAGTGGGTAACGTGTGCTTCATTGATGGTATGACAGCACATACATACATTGACATTTTGCGCCATAACATAAAATTGAGTGCCCAAAAACTTGGCTGAGGACATCATTTGTGTTTCAAAGGACAAGGACCCTAAAGATGCAGTGAACCTCACCTAACAATAGTTACTCTATAACGCTCCTCGCCAGTTAAGACGTCGCCTGACATAAATTCAATTGAAATTTCATGGCACAAATTGAACCTAGAAGTTGGGAAACATAAAATTTCGTGTAAAGATGAACTTAAGCGTATACTCCTGCAAGAATCTCTCAAAATTCCCAACAGGACTTTGGTTTTCTCTATGAAAAATACAGTGGCTCTCGAAAGTGTTCTTACACTCATGATTCTCATTGAAATAGGGCTCTATCCATTAATTAAAAGTAAACTTTCTGAATAGATTTTAATAAGATCTATAATCTATTTGTAACAAAATTACATAATATATGTTTAAAATATAGCGAAACTTTATTTTTAAGAAATTAATAATAAAAAAATGGCAAACATTTTATCTCAGAAAAGTCTTCGTACACTTCAAAAAATCTTTGACATACTGGTAAATATTTTAATTTTTCGTTAAATTAATATTTAGTAGAATATCCTTTAGCATCCACAAGATTTTAAATGTCGGAATAGATTTTACTAGTGTTTTGTAATTTCTGTATCAATGTTCATTTATTCTTCCATGACTATTTTGAGTTCGCTTTTCGTTTTGACGTCGTGTTTTCGTACTATAACCTCCAGTTCTTTCCAAGTGTGTTCTATGGGGTTTAAATTTGGCAAATGTGGTGTTTTCAAAACCTGTGGACAATTAGAGATACCACAGGCGAACGTTGAGAGCAGTATGCTTAGGATCGTTATCATGATTAAAAATAAAGTTGTTTCCAATACCCAAATTTTGGACTGATTTTAAATCTTCATTAAAATATAAAAATAAAGAGAATGATTCATTATGCCATCAATAAATACCAAAGTACCTAGTCCTGATGCTGTCATGCACTCCCCCCCCCACACACACAAGAACACCTCCATGCTTAAGTGTTCCAACTAAGTTCTTAGAATGAAGTTCCATAGTTTTACTTCTCCATACAGTTATTCGACCATCGGAGCCAAAAATGTTATATTTGCTTTCGTTAGCGAATAGGACATTATTCCAGTATGTTTCGGGTGCATTTATCATTGATTTTGCGAATGAAAGCCTAAGCTTTCTGATTTCTCACTAACGAAAAAACAAAAATTACGGGCAGAACGCCCATGTAATCCAGCTTCTCTGAGAAGTCGTCGAACAGTTTCAGGTGAAATTGAAGTAGGAAACTTTTCATTAAATTCTGCAGAAACTTTTACAGCTCTTAACCGTGGGTTTTTCACAAATTTTCTAATACTAAATCTCTCATCACGTTTAGTTAACTTTCTCGGTCGACCTTTTCTTACCTTGTTTCCAAACAGATTTTCTTCTTTAAAGCGTTTTATCACATACTGCAATGTAGAATAGGATAAATTAACTAATTTAGCGATATTTCGAATTGATTTACCACTACTATTAAAAATTATCAATTTTCGAATGCTGTTTGTAATTTCTTTACGACTGCGACCCATTTTTCAATAATAAATAGAATATTATGAAGTAAATAAAAAATAAAGCAAACGATTTTTTAAATGCCACCCCAATGTAAAAATTAAAAGGGCAAATGATAATCCTAATTTTGATTTTATCCAAAAATATTTCAGTGTACGAAGACTTTTGTGAGATAAAATGTTTATCATTTTTTGAATAAATTTCTTAAAAATAGTTTCGCTATATTTTAAAAAATTACGAATAGATTATCGATCTTATTATTGAAATCTCATTTAGAAAGTTTACTTTTAATTAATGGATAATACTGTACATTAAAAGCTGTTATAAATGCAAAAGATATGAATACAAAGTTTTAAATTTTGTTCCCACATATTGCCAGAGTCGTAGCTGGGGTTTTCAGCGCCCAGGGACAACTGAAGATTTCGCGCCCCTACTGCTTGCCAAGGATGCAAAACAAT